GGCTTGTGTGATGGCTGGAAGGAGCCTGGAGAGCAAGACAACACCAGAATACAGGGTTAGGGCATAGGGGAGATGGTAGTGAGCAAGTGGGGGGGAGGAATATGGAAGGATAACTATCCCTATGGGATCGAGTTACAGCTGAAGTACCTAGAGAACATCACCACCTCAGATGAGTTATAGCTGGAACATCTCCTCGCCTTCGGATACAACCCTAAAAGGGAAAACAGTCGTGAATGGAAAGTTGGACAGAAAGACCAAAATCTAAACCCTACGACAACAAACAATATATTTATAGTAGGTACAAGTAGTTAGAATAGGAAGGAATTAGAATTGGGAATGGAATAGAAAAAGACAAGGAATAAAAGAGAAAAGAATAGAAATGGGAAAAGAAGAGAAATAAGCAATGAATAGAAATAGAAAAGGAAGACAAATAAGGACTAGAAATAGGGAAGGAATATAAAAGAAAGAAGTTCATTCTATGGAAGGGAGTAAAATAGAAGATTGAGAGAGGGAAGGGGCAGCAATCTCAGCCCTCATGAAGGCTAGCCGGTTCAACTGGCAACCCAGCAAGCCCCGTGTCAGTCTCCAGGGATTGGGGGAGCTTTAATTTCATTTGTCAAAACTTTTGGCTTCTCATAGCACAGAGTCAAGTCTTCCACATTGAAGGCGGCAGAGATAGTGTCATCCCCTAATAGGTTCATCATATCAGTGTTGTAATTCCACAATACATCTTGATAGAATAAAGATACATTATCTCTTGACATGTCCTAAGCTGAGGATGTATGTAGATGTTGGTTTCCGCAATGTAACTCTTGAATCTGGAACATTCTTCTTCCACTTCCCGTACTTAATAGAATGTAACTTCCCGTACTTAATAGAATGTAGTTGATAAACCAATATGTGAGGAAAGATCAACTCTGAGGTGGACTCTATGTCAGATTGCATCATTCTCTCTAGCAACTACTGTTGGCACCAATTTTTTATGGCATGCACACTGGACGTCCTTCTGGGGATATAGGATCATATTGTGTTCTTACATATCCTCCAGCCATGGAAGGAGCCCAGAGAGCCTTCAATGGGCACATTTAGCACTAAGTTAAGGGTTCATACCATTCTGGTCGTAGCTGGAAGCAGCTACCATCGGTTGGTATTCATCCCTGATATAAGGCGAGCCCAACGAAAGCCCAGAGAGCCTTCAATGGGCACATTTAGCACTAGGTTAAGGGTTCATACCATTCTGATCGTAGCTGGAAGCAGCTACCATCGGTTGGTATTCGTCCCTGATATAAGGCGAGCCCAACGAACATTCTAGTGCCTAGAAGTCATGCTTCAATCATTCAAGACTTCCCGAGGTCAAGGGTAATGACCAAACTCTCCCACGTGAATTTTTAAAAAATCAGGTTTCAGAATAACCCACCCGCGAGGGGATCCGAGATGTCTATCGACACCAAAATCCCTAAATTGAAACCTCCAGAATATTCATTTTTAAGTTACGAGGTCTTATTTTAGAGATACAAAGTTTCACATAGCTTCTGGATCAATAAAAACTTTTTTTACGGATGTTCGGGCGTAAAATTGAGTTTCATACCATTTGAGTCGCACCCGGCCTTGGGCGGCGATTTTAGTCCGATACGACGCATCCTCGGTTTTCACCCAGATGTGGATAAGCCTATTTTCATCCTTGAATGCCTTTCAGTGGTTCAAGGATCCATAAAAATCCTCTGCGCAAAGAATTGGCGAAGGAGGGAAGAAAGACCAGAAAAATGAATTTTCATTTTTTAGGGGGGTGACGCTTAGGCGCCCAAAAAAGGCACCTCCTAGCAGTGTTGACGCATAGGCGCCAGCTCTTGTGTTGATCTCTCCCTCTTATGCTTTCTAGAAGAGAAGACGCTTAAGCGCCACTTAATTGGCGCATATGAGCTTAGATTGTTCTAGACCGCCCAAACAGAAACGGGGGAGCATACGCTCCCCCCATTGGCGCTTAGGCGCCCCAAAACACGCTCTGAAATAGTAAGTTGGGTGCATATGCGCCCAACCTCTGGCGCATATGAGCCCGAGGTCCAAAATGACGCGGGATTTCGCCGATTCAACCCCTAGGAAGCCATTTTTGCAGAATTTTCTCAGAATAGCTTGGGATTTGCCTGGGGAAGTGTAAAAAGACAATGATAACATATTTTTGGGGCTTCAAGAGGGGATTAGAGAGAAAAAGAGTAGAGAAGAAGCCATCAAAGAGAACAACAGCAGGAGAAGATTTCTTGAAGAGCTGAGAGAGAATTGGAGTTTTTCCCTCCATCTTTCTTTTTCTTCTTGCACTTGATCTTACATTTCCCTTCTTCCTCCATCCAATTCTAGAAGAGTGTGTGTGAAGGGAGCCTCTTGGAAGGAGAACCAAGAAAAAGGAGAGCTTCATCTCTCCTAAGGAAAAGGGAGAGCTTCTTCCATTTTGGAGAGGGAACGGAGCTAGCTTTGGCGGCGCGTGGTAGGAGCAAGAAGCAAGCAAAGAGAATGCTTCTCCAACCGTCACCAAGGTAAAAAATGCTCAAAACTCTTGCACATTCATTCCTAGAAAGCCTCTATGTCTGGTTGTTAGAAAAAATAAGGCTAGGTTTTGCACTTAGAGGAAACCAATAAGTTAAGGAGCCCTTCCATGGATCAAAACCTTTTGAATCCATGAGTGATCTCCTCCTAGACCCTTACCTCACCCAACCTACGGCCGAAATCAAAATTTCCCATGTTTTTATAGCTCCAATCTTCTATAGAGAGATTGGAGCATGTAGAGTTTAGAGAATGAATGGTTATTTCATTCTCCAAATTTTGAGGAGTTTTCTTCAAATAATTGAAGAAAAACCCTCACTTCTTTCGCTAAATTTGGAGGTAGCTTTGCTCCACATCAATAAATCAAAACCTAAGATCCCATGCGAGAACGCTAGAACGAGTCTAGTTTGCAATCAAACACGTTGATTTGCATTCTCTTGCATGTCCTTGCATGATACTTGCATATAGCATTTTGTATGTCATTTTGGCTTGATCGGTCGATCACTTCGGCTCGATCGGTCGCCCTCGCTCAAACGACTGGCCCAACCTGATTGACCGATCACTTCGGCACAATCGGTCATCTCGGCCCGACCGACCTCTGTTAGCCATTAGACCTGGTCGATCACCCCAGTCGATCTAATAGGGCGAACGATCAAATTCATTTGCATGTTGTGTT